GGCATTATATTAGGTGCTCCAAATATAACAATGAATAAAAAGTCATATATAAGATAATTATGCAATTTATATAATTACAATTAGGAAAAAGAGGTAGGACTGTAAAGTATAAAACATTGTGAAATTACATAGAAACATATTCTAGAGTGAATGGTCTGAGATACATGTCATTATCCAGATCTTTTCAAATGTCTCAATTCCATTTCTTGGTGCTCCACTCCTTCCTAATCAGTGCTTTAATTTTCACATAGGAGACATGGCAAGTCTGTGATTTCAACCTACACTGTAATTCACCAACCTGTAGGATAAGACTACACTTGGGTTTTGTCTGCATCAGTGCTACAAGAAATAGGCTGTTTTAGGAAAGCCATAAAAATTCCCTAGTTTTCAGACCATTATTTGAGCCAAAAATTTAAAGTCCAGAGCCCTTCATTTTCTTTCTTTAATCTCTCCGACACAGCAAGAAGCAGCCAACCCACTTACGGTTTCTGCCCATCACTCTGTAATATGGCAGTCCCCACTGGGTCCACAAAAAGGCATTTTGTTCTAAAGTGTTCACTTAAAGTGACTGTTAACTACCATTTACTACCAATAACCTATCCCTAATGCAGTGGTTCTCAAATTTCAGCATTCATCAGAATCACCTGGAAGGTTTTTATAACACAGATTGCTGAGCCCAACTCCCAGGGTTTCTGATTCAGTAGGTCTGTGTTGGGGCCCAAGAATTTGCGTTTTTAACAAGTTCCCAGATGCTGATGCTGCTGGTCCAGGAACTTAACTTTGAGAGCCACTGCTCTAATGGAAACGGGTCCACCTCTGTCTTCAAACCCATCAGGTCAAGTATCCAAACCCCAATTTCTATCCTTGAGAGTCTGTTGCCTACACGTGCTTTTGTTGCAAAATAGAGCACCAACAGGGTTCAATTGCAGGTAGTAGGAACTACAGTAGCTATTTTAAGCAGAAAAGAATTTAACTAAGTACTTTCAAATCATTGGAAAGGGTAGATAAGTCATCCCAGGAATAAGTCCTAGAACAAAATTGCAGATCTGGCTCACTATGGAAACTTCTACGTTCGTAGGCCAGAGTCAGAAAGCTGCTAGCAGAACTGCAAGCTGCCGGACTGTAGTATTCCCTCTAGAGTCACGTCCCCAAAAAATAATAATGAGTTTCCCGTGTGCCACTGCATTTGTTTGAAATTCAAGTCTCACTCAAGTTTACCTCATTGCCGAAACCAAATCTATCTGGAACCCTAGTTGCAAGGGAGTCAAGGAAATGTATTTTTGTTAGCTGTCTAGCCTCTTCAGAAGATGAAGACTCACTAGAAAAAGGTTGAAACAGATGTTGATGGAGCCTTGCTATCACAAGGACTAGTGAATGTTTCCCTGATGCAGCTGAGACACAAAAAAAGTTAAAGAATTAGCTATGTGAAAACATGGGAATATGCATTCTAGGCAGAGAAGAAACAAAGAGACCTGGAAGACAGCCTTCTTCTTCTCTCTTGTGAGAGAGAGATTATTAATTAACCTTAAAAATAGATGGCAAATATATACACACCTCCCCATCCCTGAAAAAAAAAAAAACAACAGATGACAATTTCAGAAAAGTCAGTTTTTAAAATTTAGAACATTATTGCAATAAGAAGAGAGGCTACCACATACTGAGTCTAACCCTCCACTACTTCAACCCAGTAGAGGCTAGGGTCCTCTGTTTAAGCCAGGAGCTGTGAAATATCACTCGTCCTACCTGTGAGGAAGCAGGACCAAAGTGATGTGTATGGAATCGAGCATGAAAAATACAACATAGTCATAAGTGCCAAGGTGCACCCATCCATGTACCTTAAATGCTGAGAAAATCACAGATTGAGTTTAGGCCCTGTACAGGAAAGTCACTGGCAAGATCTAGATGCCACTCACAGTATGGCATTTAGTTCCAAAGTGAGGAGGCAGTAAGAGGTGTTTGAGCCCTGTGGATGCAGAGATAAATGTGTTAACATCTCAGAAAATGTTAAACATTAGAGATAGTCTACTCCAACTTCCTTCTTTTACACGTTCAAAAAAGCAGGCAGAGAGGTTGAACATCTTGTTCAGGGTGACAAAGTCAGTGAAACATCTGGACTAGTACCACCAATAGCAGACATTCCTTTTTATCACTTGCTTCACTTTGCTTTTAAGTTTCTGTTTGTGGTCGTCATCTCATGCTGAAATGTAAATATGGTAGCTGATCTAGCATTTTGTCAGCTGGACATCAGTTTACTCTTTAGCTCCTTATCAGTCAGATGGTATTTAGAACAATTAGCTTGAAGGTCACTGCAAAATTAAAATATTTTTATAACTCTGACTACTGCTTTAACTCAAGACATTCCTGCACTTAAAGATTAACTCTCGTTCCACTGTTAGTGGCTCTTCATGTCCAGAGTTGAATTTTTTTTTAATTTTTAATTTTTGCAAGAATGGTGAAAAAAGGGCCATGGTATTAGAAAAGGATCATAAAAAGGTGATATAATTCCTTTGAAGAGTCATTAGAGGCCAACTAGTTTCTTTATTAGTTTGAGTGGCAGATACAATTAAAGAACCCATAAGAATACATATACCATCAAATTGTCAGATTGAATCTTTAATCCAATGGGTTTTGTTTTTTTATTTTTTTGCATTCCATATTTGGTTAATTTGACATTAAAACAATAGTCCTGTAAGAGCTTGACTGTATTTGAATTAAACACTAATATCTAAACTATTTTGTCCGAGAATTCAGACATTGTGCTCTCATATAAATAAGCAATATTGAGTGGTATTAGGTGGTATCACAGTTCCAGTGGTTTTGAACAACCATAAAAATACATATATATATATTTATATTTATAGTACCTTATTGTTTTACAGAATCTTTAAAATATGTTCTTTCTGTTAGGCTTCAAAACCATAATGCAATAATAAAATCCCCTGAAGAAAATCAAACTCAGAAATCTCATTTTCTAATTCTAATGAATAAAACAGTCACTAAAACAAGAAACTGTGAAAATCTGGAACTGTATATACATCCTATGCCAGAAATACCACATCCTTTATTCCCTGCTATTAGTAAATTTATTTCCTGCTATTAGCAAAATGTATAATATTTTATCCTACAACGTGATAAATAAAAATAATAGGTAATTATGTTTTACTTAAAAATCACCTTTATCCCAAGCCTTTCTAAGTTCAACAGAAAGTTGAATTTTCTTGTGATGGTCAAAGAAGCATAGTACAAGAAGAGCTTGAAAGGATTTCTGACTTCTCATGGCTTGTTAATAATCGATCCCAGAATTCTGAACCTGTGTATCACTGCCCACAAGGCTCTTATGGAAAATGTTTGCATGTCCCCACTGGGTCAGCTCAGAATGTTTGAGCTGTAGTGTGGTGTGACCAAACAAGCAAAAGAAAAGATTCTTTTATCTTAGTAGAGAGAGATTAGGAATTACAGTAGATAATGGAAAGAGGCATAAGCTGTGCTGGCTTCTATCCTGTAGCTTTTAGAATGTTCTTTGTGGAAGGAAAGAAAGAAAACTTCCTGCTGTAAGAATAATGATGCCCTAAGGAAAAAAACATCTGTTCTCCTGTCCATTGCACTGTATTTTAAGGAAAGCAGCTGTTATCTGCTTTGAGTTAAAAGGTGGGCTTGTTCCCACCTCCACACTTCCCAAACTTGAGTTACCGCTCCATCTCTGATGTTGGAGGCTGGTATAAACAACTAAGCCCTTTATCTAAACATTTTAAATCCTTCTCTCTTCCCTTATTTCGGCCCACACATTAGCCTATGGAATTGACTTAACAGAATGCGTATTTTCTGGTCAGTTTTGGACTTGGGAAAAAATACTTAGTTTGAAAGAAGAGGGTGACATTCATGGAAAGTTTAAACAAGTCTGGTATATGTAAGTGAAATCTGAAGTCAAGAATAAAAAGGAGAATGTGCAAGTGCCTTCAGATTTGTAGGGAAATCTACTTTAGATTGCTCCATAAGATTTTATTAGTTTGACCTTTTGACTTCCCAAAAGCCAAGTAGTTCTCTCTCAGACACTCATAGGAAACTTAAGGAGTTTGAGAACCTGGCTGAAATTTCTTAATTTTTCTACCCTCGACTTCAAACCACGTAAAGGCCTCTGTTGGTCTAGTTAATCTCAGCCTGATCTAACTAAAACAGTTAACAAAGTGCTGACAGGGTAAATGGTCCAAGGGTGGAGGAGCGGGGGTTCCTTTAAATTCCCATCCCACAGGGCCCAGCAAGACATCTAGGAGAGCAGCCTGTGCGCTCTGCTCAGTCAGAGGGAGCCAGGGGTCCTTGGTCCAAATGAATGTTTTTTAATAGGCACCTAGGTGATTCTTATGATCAGGCTTGTGTGAGGCAAGTATGGTGGGAGACAAATTCTGCTAGTCTGAGCCCAGGATAGCCTTCCTGGACTGGAGGCCTGGCCTCCTCATTCCTTAACTAGCTGGGCTGCCACGGGCAAGAAAATTAACCTCTCTGTGCTTAAGTTCCTATACTTGAAAAATGGAGCTAGAGTGTCCACTTCATAAGGTTGTCCCGAGAACTAACCATAAAATCCTTAGAACATTATCATTACCCTTCTTACCAGTTGATTTGCAGCCCAGAGCACTGGGATGGTTCCAGAATATTTACTCAATAAATTATAAATTTCTTTAGAGTGAATAAGACTGGGGAGGTATAAAGGAGCCAGATCACTAGAGTTCTTAGTGCTGCTCACCCTTCTAGGTACAGTCTAAGGGTGACAACTCCCTTTTCTCCACTTAGCCTACCTTGAACCATATTAGTTACTCTTATGTGGTTCAGTTTTAAAAATGCAGGGAGTGGAGTTGCCACTGTACAAAAAGGTTTCTAGTGTCTTTCATTAAAAAGAAAAAAAGAAGCCACAATACGCTATTTCTCTGCAGCAAAACAAGAAAATTTTATGAATCACTACTGCTTTAATTAACAGCATTATTTTTTTCCTTCTCTCCTTACCTAAGGCTGCTGTGGTGCCATCTGCCCAGACCCTTAAAATTACTGACTTCAGCTTCAGTGACTTTGAGCTGTCTGATCTGGAAACAGCACTGTGTACAATTAGGATGTTTACTGACCTCAACCTTGTGCAGAACTTCCAGATGAAACATGAGGTAGGAATGCAGCGACATCCTTTGGAAAAGTCTGTGTGTGTGTGTGTGTGTAAGACAGAAAATTGATTTGGAATGCAAATATGGAATAGGGATTTTAACATTTTAGTGATTAATATACTGTCACTTAATATATACCTGAGACTTTTAATGAAAAATTATCATTATTAAAAACACATTTAATGGGCTCCTAGTGTGTATCAAGTATCAGGGTGAAGACTAAGGGAGAGTGTTCCTAAAAATGGGAGCAGGATATGCAGAGGCATGACCAGAGAGATTGGGGGTGGGGGCCAGGAGTACTGTTGAGGGGCTAAGAATGGCAAGAGAAGCAATGGAAGAAGGTGAGAAGCAAATCATACAGAACCTTGTAAGCCGTACAGATGAATTTGGATTTTACCCTGAAAACAATGGTGAGTCACAGGAATTTTATGCAGAGAAGTAGCATGATCTCATTGCAGTGGTTATAACAACAGTGTACAGGGAAGGACCAAAGCAGAGTGAACTCCTTTGAAAATGAAGGGGGAAGTAAAGAGGCCTGATGTGAGGCCACACTTTTAGTTGGAACAGGGTCACCCATATGGGTGAAGACGAAAACTGATTTTAGCCTCTGTTGCTTACCTTATTCACTTCTCAGATAATAGCAAAACTTAAATAAGTATCTTCTAATATCAGTTTGAAGATACCAGGGAATTCTGTTGTTTCATAATGGCTATGTATTATAATATATAACACCAAAGAATAAGAGGCAGCAGAAAAGACTATTTGAAAAAAAGAATTCACTAATCTTGCCTTTAAAGATTACTTTTTCTCATCAGTTGAATGTCTAGTCTCCTTGTACAGATTTCCTATCTGAAAATTTAAATATCTTGAAGGCCTCCACTATTTAGCACTATATTAATTCATACAATGAAAATTTGTTAACATATACTGTATACCCAGGACTGTGCTAGGTACACAGTTCAGTGATGAATTGTCCCTGCTCTCAAAGGCCTCACAGAAATGAAAACTAAGAGTGATTAATACATTGTCATTTATGGTATTACTGGAGGCCCAAATCTGGTTCTTCCTGAATTTAACCAAAGTTTATGTTACTCTTTCTTAGGTGAAAATAAAGAACAGTTGTCCATAGACTCTTACCTAATAATACTTTACTCTTGTTAGAGTGTGTTGATTAAGGGATATCATGTCATTTAATTATTTCAACAAGTTCTCTAGAAAGGCTGTCACTGGGGTTATTGTTATCCCCATTTTACAAATGAAGAAATTGAGACACCATAGTAGAGTAGAAAGATCATGGATTTTTGAGTCATAGCTCTGCTACTGGTTAGCTCTTTTTTCCTTGGGCAATTAATCACTCATATTCTCAGTTTCCTCATCTCTTATTAGGGGTAATGGTATTATTCTCCCCACGAGAGTTTTGTGAGAATTATACATGCATCTGTGATTATCTATGTGTATGCTTGTGTATATGTGTACTTATCTATAATATTCTGTTTAACAAACAGATGTAGCATCCATGTCAGTTATCCCATTCTTAGGCCAAGTTTGACTGGTTACATCACTCATCAAATTTCTCAATAGCAGGTCATAAGGCTCATTTTTTAAAGCCGTATCTATTGATGAGATGAAGATCTCATTTGGAGCCAGAAGTTCTATGTGAATCTCACTTCTGCTTCTTGCTAGTTACAGGACTTTATAAACCTATATAGTGTCTCATATCCCTTTCCATTCCTGAGTACTCCCATTCTTGAAACTAATAATGATTCTGTTGAAAGGACTTGGCCAGAGCAGAGGAATGTGATTCTTGTACTTTTAAACAAAATTCATATAAGTTGATTTATTTCTTTATTGGCCTTTAGATAGCATTTGAGGGTAGGGTAATGAAGATAATCACTTAAAGTTTCTATAGAAATCTTTATTCTTACCACTTGTTGGGTTTTTATCCATGAGGAAAATATTTCCTTTTAGTGTCTGATTCATCATCCTACCTTTTCTGGTTGAATAACTATTATTCTAATTCTTGCCAACATCAACTTGAACATTGCAATCATTCTGGCTGGCCTTCCTTCCTTAGTGCCTCTTCTGTTTTGTTTCTTTCATGTATTATTGTCAGTATAATTTTAGGATGATGAAATTAAAATGTTAATGCTAGAGAGGATGTTAAAATCATGAAGCTGTTGTGACTAAAAATATTTCATATTGAAAGACAGATCTTCATGTTCTCTGCATGGCTTCTAAATCTTTAGTCATTCTCCTATAATGATTGTAACCATTGCCTCTTGCTGATCTCTGAAACAGATTCTTCATTCTACTCGAGCAAATCTGCATGTTTTGTGCTATTTTCACTTTCCATCTTTTACATCTTAATCCTCCCTGAATAATGTCTGTTCCACTCTCTGCCACAACAAACATTTCTCTTCTGCAGAGCCTGACTCAAGAATATCTGTTTGTAAGAGAACCCTAGGCTTGACTTCATGCTGCTTCAGTTGCTATTTGGCAGTGTATAAACTTGCTCTCAATTATATGTTTATTTATTTATTTCCTTTATATATGCAATTTTGTTATTTTCACTACTGATTGAGTGTCTTGAAGCAGGAGCTAAGCTGTTTTCTGTTTCTTCTTTTTCTCTGGTGGCATCTTGAGTTCACCACTCAGGAAACCTTCCATAATTGTTGGGAGACTGATTCAATGCATTGGACATGCTCTCTAGAGTCATCCAAACTGCAAATAACTACTCAGTAGTCCTGTACAAAATACTGTCTTACAAATTTTAATGGTGTCTAGCATATCCAATGAGAACTTACCAGATATGACCATAATTTTCTTATATGCTGTTGAGAACATCCTGGTAACAGAATCTAAAACTGTACTTAAATATAGGTACTACTTTGTCCATTGGGTTATCCAATTCTATTAGGTCTGTCCTAATAAAAGGAAAATGGAGGAGTCCATTAGGAATTATGTTTCATAGAGTCATTTTGGTCATCGTTTCACAATATATGGTATTATGTATTTAATTATATCTGTACATTTATGATTAGTAAAAAGATATATCCAAAGATTAAATTTCTGGGTTTTCCTGTTTATTTTTCTTGCTGCTTTAATTAATCACAAGTAATTTTCTACAACATATTTTCTAAACATATCGAAGAGAGTTTCTAGATCTTACTTAAAAGTCTCTCAGTAAGATTAATCTCACAGTAAGATTAATCCATCACCTTCCTGACAGACTCTATTCAGAAATGAAAAAATGGTGAAAGAAGCTGCAGTGTGCTTGGGGTGAACACATTCAACTTAGGCATACAGAAATCTTCCGCTTGAAATATGGCAACTCAGTGGGTAAAAAGGTTAGGAGACATTAGGTTCTTTGTTATCAGAATTTCCTGTAAACTGAGCAATAGAACAGGAATAAAATGACCTGAAAAGAAAAGGGAGGATATGGAAGCATTGATTTCCCACCAAGTCTTTTATAAGCAGTTTCTACCAACAATGAAAAAACCTTGTTTTTGGCCTACTTCTGTAGCTAATCGTATTGTGTTGAATATTGTCAAAGCAACATTCTTTTCCCTCGTACTTTTTCTATTTCCCAGGGCAATGTTCTTTGTGTTTGAAGCAACTCCGGTGATATATATAGGGAGAATCACATATTTATGTTACAAATCCCCAAAAGTATAGTAAATCACTCAGATTTGAAGAGAGGCAGATTCTGATGCTAACACAAACCATGTTTAGGGCCCATGAGTCTCTGGGGATTTTATTTAATACACCACTTAGAAGTTAAATTAAACCCAACTCTTGAGACTTGCTGAAGTCTGTCCTCCCCCCAGCCATCTTTTAAAGTATTTGTATATGGACCCCAGGGCTTTATTTGGCACATATTATTTTTTAAAAAATTACTTCTTTGTAACCAAGCAGTAACTACCTGAATAAGTATAATTTAAAAGGACAAAGAACTAATGATGGCATTGTCTTGTAGCTCCAATTTGTCCTTGGACATGTACTATATACCTTGTTACTAGTCCACCCCCAGGGCCTTGCACTAAATACCTTCACAGATATACAACATGAGAGCATGGGAAGAACTTGAGAGTGGCTGCTTTTATGGCTGTCTGATGGTGAATTCATACCTATGTGACTCTTTGGACTCTCCTAGTTGATGACACATGGACATGGCACATGGACACATGGACCTTTTTTTTATATATATATATATATATATATACACACACATATAAAACCTAGTCAGTGCCCTATCCTGCCAAAAATACCTTTCTTAGGGATGTCTTGTGTTTTGTATCAATTTAATTGGCATGGTGGTTAACATGGTAGGCTGTGAAGTCAAACCGCTCAAGTTTGAATTTTGGCTCCATCCCTAACGAACAATGTATCCTTCAGCAAGTTACCTCTCTGAGTATCAGTTTTCTTGTCTGTAAGATGATCCAAATCGGAGTATCAGGCTAACTGTGAATGCTTTGTACAGTGCCTGGAACATCATAAATGTGTGAAGATGTTGGCAATTATTGTTACTACTTATGTTTTATTTCCTAAAGGTTCTTTGCAGATGGATTTTAAGTGTTAAGAAGAATTATCGGAAGAATGTTGCCTATCATAATTGGAGACATGCCTTTAATACAGCTCAGTGCATGTTTGCTGCTCTAAAAGCAGGCAAAATTCAGGTACTTTTTAGAGCCATTCATATATCTAATGTATTTTGTTGCTTAGTAGTAAAATTTACAGCATATTCTTTCAAGTTCACTTTAAAGTGCACAGATAATGATTTAAAATAATATTTGCTGCAACTTACATAATAAGTTATATTTTGTTAATTAAAGAGGACTAATCTGGCAAAACTACTTAGTTGCTAATTTTCTTCCATATATAATATATATGGCATATTAGAAAACCTTTAAAATAACTTCATGTTTCACATACATAGTCTTTGGGCAAGTAAATATTTCCTTCTGAGGAAAACACTACCTTATTAAGAAAAAGTAAGAAAAAGTATCACATTTCTCTTGTTCACATTTAACCTGCTCCATAGTAGAATTCCTCAAAAACCACCCAAGTCCTGAACTTGCTTAAGTTAGGGGTCTCTACTGCATTTTCTCTGGAGCACTCAGTAAATTTTTTAAGTACTGTTTCATAAAAAGGGTTTTGGTTTCATATACATTGACCAGAGACTGTTTAAAAGGAAGATCAATGCAGAAAACGTTCAAGTAATTCGTTCCTTTCCAGGCCAAATTTTATCCATATCTCTGTCCTTAGATTCTAACTTCAGTGGGAATCGACTAGTTATTCCAGGTAAGTGATTCCAGGCATCCGTCATATAACTGTTTTTAATTCAGAGCTTCCCTGCCTTTTTCTTTTTGTAAATAAATTCTTAAAATGTTATTCTCTGTGTCTACTTTCATAGGGTGCACATTTTAACAGGCTAAATCTAAAAAAAGTGATTGTTGTTAAAGAAGTGAGGTGAAATTAAATACACTAGTAGGATTTTCCTACCTTAGCAAACACGTGTATGTTGAGTATCCCTTATCTGAAATGGGACAAGAAGTGTTTTAGATTTCAGATTTTTTTCAAACTTTGGAATATTTGCATTATACTTACTGGGTGAACATACCTAATCTGAAAATCCAAAGTATTCCAATGAGTATTTCCTTTGAGACTCATTGGTGCTCCAAGACCTTCAGATTTGGAAGCATTTTGGATTTCAGATTAGGGATACTCAACCAGTGTAAGAAATTGTGTAAACTTATTTTGGGGTATGGGAAGGTCATAAGGATTATCGACACTGAAAACTATCCTTGTTCTCTGTGAGGAATAACAAAATGATGATTTTTGTGTTTGTTGTAAAACCTATTTAGAGTACTGAGAGTTCTAGGAAAATACAGCTGATGATAATTTTAAGTTGTGTCTTTTTTGCTAATGAAGGGGAACAGTATTAATGATAATACTCATGGCAGATACTAAAAATTAACCTATATTTAACTTGGGAGTATATTATGTAACTTTTTGAAGCCAAGTTTTCATTTCAAATCATTTTCTTTCTATTGTTTTGCTTGAATTAACATTGTCTGCATTCCTTAAGGACACAGCAACTGATAGCAGAGAGTGAACAGAATCTGTAGGGAATTAAAAGAGAAAAAAAACAATTATTTAAAGTTTATTATGATTATTTCACATAATAATTAAGAATTAGCAATACTTACGATTGGTAGACAGATTATTAGTTTATTGAGGCATTTCAGCTTTTCCTGTTGATAAGTGACATTTGTGGTGATCCCATTGTGAATGACAAAGGACAACTGATTCCCTGAAGAATAGGATTCTAGAGTTAGTCCTTTGTGACTATAGAGAAGTATGTATGTAAAGCACTGAGGGGAAAAAATGATTACTGAAAAGAGGTAATATAATGTTCTTCACCACATTTTATTTGTTCTCTCTTTCCTCCAATGTCTTTGATCATGCAGAACAAGCTGACTGACCTGGAGATACTTGCACTGCTGATTGCTGCACTAAGCCATGATTTAGATCACCGTGGTGTGAATAACTCTTACATACAGCGGTAAGACTTTCCAGTAAAGCAAGAAAATGTTTTCTTTTAATTATAGGACTGTATGTTTCTACGTTAAAGCCACAGCAAAATTTGATGGTACAAAATTGCAATTGGTCAAGGTCCCATAACATACTCTGGTTATATTTAAAGGAAATGGGAAAAATAATGCAGGTTCAGTATTATGTTTATAATTTTTCAGCCCTGAAGTTCAAAACATATTTATGTTGAGAATCTTATTTCATTAGATAATTACCAAGAGTTTTACTTTAGTTTATGTACATCCAGCTTAACAGCTCCCTTAGAAAACTATTAAAACTAGTTCAGAAAAGGTAACATTTCACCCTGCAGTAGAAAAGATAATATTTGAGAAGTGCTTAGCTCAGCCCTGCATACTTATTAAGTGCTCAGGAGAAGGAGGCTTGTGGTCTTAGTGGAAGCTATATAGCACAGTGTTGGAGAACTGGGCCTCTGTCTAATTTCTCTATACCATAATGTCCTGATACATGAAATGGAAATAATGGTTGTAAAAGATAATACACATCAATAACAAGCAGAATAGTTGGTACCTATTTAAGTCTTAAATATTAGAAGCAGATGCTAGAGACGTACCATCATCAGATGACTGCTCATTGAGATACTATCTGTTAGGACAAGCGTTTCAGGCTCCTTTAAGAGCCATACTTAAGTGACATTTGAGATGACAAATGAGAGGATAAAGGTGACATCACTTTTCATCAAATGTTTGAGCCACTGTGATATTTTTATTTTCTTGTAGGAATTTAGTTGAAAGGTCTACATTTTAAGTGCAAGATCTCTTACTACTGAGCATTTTTTAAGTACATAAGTGATTCAGCTAATGGACAGATCTCTCAAGGAAATTCCAGATGTCTGATATCTAGAGGGAATTTCAGAAAGCTCTCTAATCACATTCTCCTTATCTAAATAAATGGAAAACTTCATGTAGAAAGAATTGTAGTGATGTAACAGCCATGTCCTCTGCTGACCTTTGATGGGAAAAGATAGCAAGGTCTTGCCTGAGTATCAGAGTCTGGCTGTTTCCTCTTGAAAAATCTCATGTTGTGAAGAACTGACTGAGTGACATGTCCTTTGTCCCCTGCGCTTTGTCATGTGATTGCAATCCTGAGCCTCACATAGACACAGAATAATTATGAAAGGGGACACTGCCATGCAAAGATGGATAGTGCAGAGTCAAGCCACATAGTATGCCCCTCCACAGTCAGCACAGCCTAAAGATCAGAATCAGCATGTGCTACACTGAACATAATATTATTAGTATGTGGATTATTAGTGTATGGATCGCTCTAAGATACTATATTGCCCTGCTTTAGAGTGAAAAAAAAACACTCAACTATTTTTTCCTTTGTTTATTTAAAACTAATTACCCCAAAAACATCTGGAGAAACGTCATCTTCTCCAAAAAAAAAAAAAAAGAGAGAAAGAAAAAGAAAACATCCTGGGAAAAACTCATCGACTGCAGAATCTTGCTTTCACACACACACCACAAAGCAGACTTCAACTTAAAAAAAAAAAAAAAAGTTAAAGCAGTTTCAAAGATTTTTATTTCTTCCTACATCCCTGTGGTTTCTGTAGAGGAAAGCAAGAATTTTCCAGGGATTTCTCTTTTTTTCTTTCCTTGCTGGTAAATGAGTGATACTTAAAGTAGAATTTTTTTAGCCAGGGGACTCAGGAGAGTATGAGTACCATAAATATTCCCATGTAAAGTACTATCTTCTAAAAAGGTATACTGTGTCCAGCGCTCATCAGATATTCAAACTAATATTTAGAGAAAATCAAAACAATAAAACAATGCACAGAGATGAAAGTAATTTATCAAAAAGAGAAAAAATGGTCATGTGGTAGCAAAGTTAGAAACTGAGGTTGTCCTCATTCATTCTTGAACATCTTTTCAGAAAATTACCCTGAAATTACCTTGAAAGAAGATATTTCTTCAATAGAAAGTTGCCCCTTGAGTCGTCATTTGATTATTTGAAGTCTTCTTTGATTAGGAAACTACCATTGTAGAGGAGTTCTACAGGTACGCCAGTGGCATATGTGAGGGAAGAGTTCACTGCTCATGCTTACTTCTCCCACTTGGGTGAAGCAAGAAAAGAATGAGGGCTGGGCATGGTGTCTCACACCCATAATCCCAGCACTTTGGGAGGCCGAGGCAGGAGGATCATGAGGTGAGGAGTTTGAGACCAGCCTGGCCGGTATGGTGAAACCCCGTCTCTACTAAAAATACAAAAAACTTAGCCAGAAATGGTGGTGGGTGCCTGTAATCCCAGCTCCTCAGAAGGCTGAGGCAGGAGAATTGCTTGAACCCAGGAGGCAGAGGTTGCAGTGAGCTGTGATCTCGCCACTGACTCCAGCCTGGGCAACAGAGCGAGACTCCATCTCAAAAAAAAAAAAAAAAAAAAAAAAAAAAAAAAGAATGATCTCAGATAGATACTGAATTCTTATTTTAAAAATAGGCAGTAATAGGAACAAAATGGCTGAAGTGCAGACAACCACTAGAGAAAACACAATTGTAGCATTTGGGTTATGTAGAGAAATTACCTGCATTAGGCCTGCATTCAGTATAAGAAGACTGTTGTAGATGCATTTATTTAATTAGATTCAAGTTTGGTGTTGATAAAATAATGCAGTGAAATTATATTATATTCTAGGCAGATAGATAATAATTATTATATTAGGGCGTTTGCCCTTTGCAAGGCAGAAAGAGAGTGATAGAAGTATAAAATGTGATTCTTGCCATTAAGGTATTGTCATAGTCTCATGAAGTAATAGTGATCACTACAAGAACGTTTCTAGTCCTGAGTTATGTAGAGCAGGACTGTAAGTGTTCAGCAGAGAAGACTGGTCAAGTCAGATGTAGTACAACTACATTGTTAATGCTGGAAATGAGACTTAAACTTGGTCTTAAAATATGGGTAGGATTTAGAAAGGAGAAAAGATAAATATATTTCAGGAGCACCATGAGGTAAGCACTTTCTTGGAACAGTGGTGATGGCTAGCTTGACTAGAGTTAGAAGGTTCACATTGATTAGGAATGAAAAAGAAGAGAATGAACAAACAGAAACTTTCTGAGCTAGGGTTATAAAACTAAGCAGTGCATTATAGATTTGATATGGGTGGGAAAAGGAGCCACTGCAGTGTGTAATAAGCACACGGTTTTAGGAAAGAAGTCTGAATGTAAGCTACAAGGTGAATGGGTAGAAATTAGAACCACAGAGCTCAACTAGAAAGCTGTTACAGCAAGTCAGATATAAACTGAAAAATCACATATGGGCTAGAGCGAGGAAGAGGGTGAAGGAGAAAAAGAAAGTTTTTTAATTTAATAATAAGCAGCTAGTTATATATAAGCATGAGGGAAGGAGATATGACTTCTGGTCCAAGAAATTGGAACAGTGATGGTGCCATTGATGAAAATGAAAGAGCTGGGAAATGTGTATATGTGTGCACTGAGAGAGAGGGATGACAAGAATGGAGGTTAGGGGAGTTTTGGCAATAAGTCGAGTAGAAGATAACAAATAGGGTGGTAGGTAGAAGTGGTAAAATGATCAAATGGATGTGTTTTTTTTTCAAGGTTAGAGATGCAGTAAAATCAGGGGGAAAAGGTCTCCTGCTAGCCACAAGGAGATTTGTGTGTATTTGTCCTAGGAGAACTTGTTCTATGCCATGACTGTCTTCTCTGCTCTAATAGAGGACAGAAGTGAGCTGGAGTCATGGTCTGGCAGTGGGAGTAGAGGGTCAGCAGGATCTGAGAGACTTTAAAGGGCACTACACCAGCACAAAATCATATGTGAAGTTCAAGCTGGGTAAAGTCCATTTTATCCATGAATGAGATGATCCCTGGTCAGGTTGGAGATCTTGAGAGCCTGGAGATCTGACTATGAATAAAGTGAAAGTTCAATTCAACTAGACCTATGTCAGTAGTAAATACTAATAATAGAAGCTAAAACTTTATATAGGCCTTATGGCATGTGAAACATTTTTGCACTCTTTATTTATTAGTTTATTTAGTCCTTATACCACCAAGCAGTGGCTGTGATGGTTATGGTAGTTAAGAGCCAACTTGAGCCAGATGCCCGGCTTCAAATCTTGTCTTCTCCTCTTACTCTGTGACCTTGTGCAAGTCATTAAACTTCTCTATGTCTATTCTATGTGTAATAGAATAATGAAAATAGCTATATTCTGGGATTTTCATAAGGATTAAAGGGGTGTAAATAGATGTAAAGTGCTTAGAATATTTCCTGGCACATGTTAAATGCTCTACAGGTCTTAGCTATTTTCACAGGGGAATGTTCTTAGCAACAGATAGGAGTTTAAGATCTTGCTTTGTCCTGTGGTCAATAAAGGAAGTGGCAAAAATACTGTGCCCAGTAGAACCTAGTAGCTGTGGAACAAAGAAGCAGAGCCCTGTCCATCGTTATGTGCAAAGAGATAATCAGTGTCAAGGAGGTCAGAGAACTCTGAGGTCAAAACGTGAAATGAATCATCATTATGAATATCTATGTCATTGAATATGATTGTTGATTGGGAGAAGAAGGCAATCGTGATGATTTGAAGAGAAATGATGAAGTAAAGAACTAAATGGGATTGAAGGTTACAAAGAGATTGTTAGAGAATTGAGCCCAGAGTAATATGTACGGCTGAGAAGCAGAACCAAGGACGTTGTTAGTCCTTTGTGACATAAGCAGACTGGGGTGGCAATATAGTTCCCCACCCCCATGGGGCTTTCCTTTTCTGTAGATTTCTAAGGCTTCCTATTTCTAAAATATTGGTCTGATTTCTGCATTGGGCATCTTAATACTACTGTCAGAGATAGACCAACAACTGTGCAGGACAGAGGAAAATGCAAAGTGAGTGTGCTGGTCCATTAGGGCTCACTGACAGCAGCGTGGGAACAAAATTCTGTAGCAGTAGTGGTTTAAATGGGTCCTTCTGTTGCAACCTTAAAGAAGCCACATAGCCTTGTGTTCGAAAGAGGAAAATGCAACAGATATAGAATACACTGATTTCCATGAATGTTTTTATATACAGGAAATTCGGGGCATTTGTCACTCTGTTATTGATTCATAAATCTGTATTTTTAGAATCTAAGTAAAGACAAACACAGTTTGCATTCATCTATCTCACAAGCCAAGAATTTTCTCTAATGTGGAACAGTCCCTTCTGTGTCATCTAAAAATGTAATGTGTGTTTGAAGTTCTAACTTGTTTGTGTTATATCCACCTAATAGCATTTCGTAGTCCAGCTCCTAAGTAGGTCAATGAGTGGATACTATGTGCCTTTAAAGTACTTTGGTATCCTAAGACCATGTGATGTGTTGAAGAGGATATACTTGAATGCCAGCTCTACCATTTATATCAACCTTGAGCACATTATTTTTCACCGAGCCTTTGATTGTCTAGAAAGCAAAAAGATGGCAACTTTAGAGAGGTCTCAGCCGAGGTTACCCTTGAGGCACAACCTGAGATGAAAGTCAGTGTGCCTATAGCTTATTTGTGAATATGCCCCAGGGAGCAGGAATGCAGGACTGGGAAGGAAGCAGGGAAGAAAGGAAAGGCAGTAGAGGGATGAGTTATCCAGATGTCTACCCATACTGTGTCTTAGTCTTCCCAGGCACTTTGGAGTAGTCTTATGAAATAAGACCCAGAACTGTTGACTGGCAAGACAAAGGCAATTGTACCTAGGTCTGTGTACCCCACTGGTCCAAGGTGGTCCACAGGCCTTCGCTCTTTCACACTTTCAGGTTGAACAAATATGAGTGCAGAGAAAATTACTTTGGGCACCAGCTGTGGGGTCAGAAAGCTCTAAGGCAGAAGTGAGAGGTATTAAAGGTAGGCTGGGGCATTCTAATTGGTACTTGCATGAAGTCTGTTAAAGCGTGCATGAAACTGGACACTACATCAGCGGATGAGTAAGAGGTGGGATTGAGGGTTTTGATGTGGTAAATGGGAATGCCCTGCCCAGAGTTATTGTAAAAATTAAATATAATAAACTAAAAAAAACTAAAGCACACTACCTGACATGTTATAGGCTCTCATTATAGGCCATCTCCCTGGATGATCTCATCTACTCGCATGCCAGGATTACCATCTGCATGTTGGTGCATTCCAAATCTATATCACCAGCCCAGACTAAGTTCAGACATTTATATCCTTTTGGGTCTATTTCAGGCACCTTAAAATGAACAGATCCAACATTCAGCTAGTCAGCTTCCCCTGCTTCATCCTCCATCTTTGATCATCTTCTCCCTTTTCCTATGTCAGTAAATGAGGTCAGCATCCCAAGGCAGAGACTTTAACATTCATACTTTTTCCCTTTTCCCCCTCATCCCCTCATCTCCCTCATCCCACTCCTAGTCAGAAGTCATTACCAGTTCCTATCTGATCTACTCTTGAACAGCTCTCAGATGTCTGCTTCTCTTCCTTTGGGCTGCTGCCACTCTAATCCAGGCTCTCTCTTACTTAGATTACTAGAATTTTCCCAGTAGTCTCCTAACTCCCAGTAGTCTTGATACATACACAATATCTGTTTCCAGTAAGTTCATCCTTTTTCAGAAATCTACTCGTGTTACTCTGTTCATTGTCATCCCATTTTCCAGTGCTAAGCACAGTACCTGATCCATAGTCCAATTCACTAAATATGGAAGGAGCAAAGAAGACAAGAAGGGCAAGAATTAATTTGAGAAAGGTTAGGACAACAGTAACATTGATAAATTAGCAATATAGACAACACTTTTAACAATAACAATAGATGGGATTATCTGTCCTCTTACCTTTATTTTCACTTTACTATTTTCATTTTCCCTCAGGTCTCTCTCACTTTACCCATTTTCCCCCACATTACATTTCTTCAGTCTTAGGTAGCTTCTCTATCTTCAACAAATTAAATGCAAAGTAAAGTAATCATTCAGATAGTAATAGGGAGAAATAACAAATCAGTTGTATTATCCACCACTTGTATATGGAGCTTTACAATTCACAAAGCCCTTTCCTATAAATTTTATGAACAGAGGTTTTCAGAAATTTCGTCTTTTTCTTATGAAGAAATAGTGAAACCTATGCTTAATATTCACATGTGAAGGGTCCTGAGAAACCTTGAGGTGGACCTCAAGGTGGAGGTGGAGGATTGTGCTTGTCGTGCTTTAAAGCTTTATTTGTGACTGTCTCAGTTCATATAATGAACTGAGTATAATGTCATTTCCTTTCTCTTCATTCAGCCAAAGGGTCTCTACTGCTTCACCAAGTTCAATTAGCAGAACTAGCAGGATATTCTGCACTAAAATGACCTGGATCCCACATGGGGAACTTTCCAACTCAGCCGTCTCCTTCCTTCCTTCCAAGAGAGCATGTGCCCTGAGTATCCTCCTTTTTCTTGCCTTTCATCAATCATACCTCAGTTAATTCCATCTCAGTCAGTCCTTTTCTTATTTGCAGGCACACATGAATAAGCTGACCTTCAGCCTGAGCATTATTTCAGAGGAAAAGCTAATGTGAATTTATTTCAGATTTTATATCAATTGCAGTTTTGAAATTGAAAAATATAATTGGTACAACTATTTCAGTGGGTTTTTTTTCCATGTTTGGAGGTATTAATTTTTTGGTCCTTACTCCTTACTTCTATTTTAATCAGTATTAAGACCAATGAAATTGTTCATACTTTGCACTGGCAATGGTTCCATTGGTATTTGAAAACAATTTGACACTTGGTATTTGTTTCCCAGAGATTACCTCACTCTTTTCTCAGAAAAGGAGGGAAAATTATTGATTAATTTTGTGAAGTAGTCTCTCTTTTAGTTAAACAGTAATAAAAATGTACTGATGAACTGGCACATTAAGGAAACTGATCTTTTATCCTTTCTTCAACAAAATATTTTCAGAAGTGAACATCCACTTGCCCAGCTCTACTGCCATTCAATCATGGAGCACCATCATTTTGACCAGTGCCTGATGATTCTTAATAGTCCAGTAAGTACCTAATTTATTGTTGTGGAATTTTAAAAGAGAGCTTTATAAATTCAGTTTTATTTTTAGTTCTTGGATTTATTCCCAGCATCATAAATTCTTGCACATACTTTATTCCTTTTTGGGTAAGGAAGGCAAAGCCAAAACATTTGAGATCCTCACAGCCTCACTTCTCTAGACAACCAGAACTGTCTACATGTTGCCTGATAAGGGAAATTTGGTTATTCTACTCTATGTGGCTATTCCAAATTAGAAACAAACAAAAATGTGTATTTTGTGGCTCTCACTTAATTCTGCTTTTTTTGAAATGAAGTGGTTTCTATAGCTCAAACATTTGTTTTCACAAAGCAATACCTTTTCTTCTTTTTACTGAAACTTCCAGTTACTAAGAAACAATTTTATTAAAGAATAAAGCTATTTAACTACTTGGTGAAATGAATATTTATCAACATAAGAAAGCATATGCTATGCTATGCTAAACATACTTATGTTAAGGAAAACAAGATTAATTTAATATGCACCAGGATATTAACTATGGCTGTGCTGGTGTAATGAAATTGTTCATTTTTTTTGGTGGGGGGCTGATTGTTCATTATTTACATTATCTGCTGTGTGTAGGTATTACCTTAATAATAAGAAAAAATGAAAGTTTTAACTATTACATTGAACATTCACAATGCATGACATATAATCTTAAAACAGTTTTACCACAATATCACTAAGTTTACTCAGTGGGGCTAGTTCTTTCCTGAGCCCTGGAAAAAAATTCAGGGATTCCCATCACTTTTCTGGTCACGATTTTGTAAGTAAAAACCCTCTAGTTACTTTAGGTCCCAATATATAGTATAGAGTTCTCAACTCAGAAACCAAAATGTGTACTCCTGGGTAGCAGTCCAAAATTTGAACATGATTTAACGTTTCACGTTTTCTGTTACTGCACTGGTAGGCTTCTCCCATTCCCTACCTTGTGTTTCTTCTGACTCCTTCCTCTCTCACCAGCCTCCATGTAGTTTCTTACCCCTTCATACTTGGAGAATGGGAAGGGAGAATAGGTAAGAAATGTTAAAACATTCTTAACAGACTGGTGCTGAGATGAGTGTCTTGCCTTTTAAGACAAGAGTCAGACACAAGTCTACTCTAGCCGCACCTCCACCCACTAAATGATAGGAGACATACACAGGAACTCCACGCCGCTCTCTTACCTGAGGTAAAGGGGAACTCACTCTCATGCCTCCCTCAACACCTCAGTGTGGGGGAAGAGTTAAAAGTTATGTAGCCTGTTTTGGCACCCTCCTTATAAAGTCTGTATATGGTCTAGTACAGATTGTTTTTCTACCACATGTGATTATGTTTAGTATGAATTATATCATGTGTGATTGGGAGGTAGAAGGATGGTATCAGTATACCATAGACATTCTATCATTTCATATACAACCTCCCTGGGGTAAGAGGTGCCAGAATTATAGAAGTTGAATTCTGACCTTCAGCAAGAAAGAAAAAAGCCCTCCCCTTGGCTCCTGCATATGCAGCCCTTTCCATTCTTTCTTAGGAATATTAAAAATGAGCACTTGCACCTGAGGCTCTCTCCCTCGCTTTGGACTGCTGTAGCCTCTCGGGAGCTTGCTCTTCTTTCCATGCCCACCTTAATAGCAGACTTACTGTCTCAATGATTAATTCTATATGCATGATCGCAGGGCCCCCACAAACCAGCATTTCTACTTGATTGTTTTTGTCCATCTTTAATGTCCTCAGAGACAGCCTCCAGACCAGCCAGACTGGCCCGTCCAAGTTACTTCCAGAGGAACCAATTCTTGGTTTGGTTTGTGCTCTGGTTACAAAGTTGCATAGGTTTTGAGTGGTCTTTCCCAATACCATTATTTTGCACAATCCATGTTATTTTTAGTGTACAGTTTTTCAGAACTGAAATTTCTCAGGAATGTATATGTCATGTTATAGTAGGAATGTCTGTACTTTTGCTATCTGTGTGTTTCCACTAAAACTTTCATTTCAATATCCCATTACAAATTTAGCTCCAAAGAAAGAAAATATGCTAACTTTTTTAAAAGCATATTTTACAGTATTCCTATCAACTGACCTGTTACTATGTAACTTATTATGTAATATGTTGTTGCTTAATATATAAGGAATCTGGTTATCTATATGGCTGTCTCAAATTATAAGACCTATCTATATATTCTATCTTTGTAAGCATAATTACACAAGAAATTATATCCTCAGCCTTTGGGAGTAAAAAGTAAAAATATAGCACCAAAAGACATTTCATCTTCCACTTGAAATTGTTTTATCAAAATAAGTATCAGAAGGTATTTTCTGAATAGTTTTCTGTTTAGTCTAGAATCTAAAATGATTTAGTATTTAAAATAATGCTTATGGTTGTAATTATAGATTATTGTCATTAATTAGATCCATGCCACAGTTTCAGCATCTAGTTATCCTCTAACCAATGTGTTTTGGCCTCAGCCTAACATACCCAGAAGTTCCCCTGTCTTCATAACAAATCCTCTGCCTTCAGATCTCTTTCCTAAGCATCTGGGTTTTTTCTTGGCCCTAAGATATAGGAAGCATATCTGACTCAACTTAGAGATGTTGTTTTGATTGTATTATGAGTGCCTGGTCTATGTATTTTACTTAGTTCAAGATTAGAGAACCACTATGCTTTAAATTACAGACAAGAAATAAAAAATGGTTACATAGTGAAAACTTTGAATGATTTGCACATGAATTAGCTACCTTTTAAATATTCCTTATAGATGTTTCAACCCACGCTTTCTTTCTCCACTGATCAGTAAGCACCTTTTGGCTCATGCCCTTTACCCATCTATATTAAGATGTTCCTACGGAATATGCACTGTTATCATAACTGACCAAGTTAAAATTATATAAATTTGCACCAGAAATGTTATTGGATTTATTTAAAATGCCATAGAGAAGTGACTTTCTTCATAATCCATTGTTTAAAAATTTTACCACTTCATTCTTCATATCCACTAATATGGCTTTGATTTTTTTCAAAGTTTTACTTGCTATTAAATTATAGCAATTAGTCTGCCCTATGGAAAAGAATAGCTTTAGATTTTAAGTCTGGACTAAGGCTTAAGGAGTATAAAAGTGGGAAAAACATGCGTATGTAGGCAGATGAAGCATCATGAAGCAGTTTACATGTATGACAGAGGGGTGGGGTAGGAACATAGAGGGGAAACATTATTTCATGGTATTTAAGTATGCCCTCCACATTCATGAGTTTAGAATACTGGGCATGTGTTTAAGATATGTGAATGTGTTTGCAGATTTTGTTCTTGTCCGCAGCTTCTCCAGGGTGCTAATGTTGGTTTTTTTTTTTTTTTATAAAGGGCAATCAGATTCTGAGTGGCCTCTCCATTGAAGAATATAAGACCACATTGAAAATAATCAAGCAAGCTATTTTAGCTACAGACCTAGCACTGTACATTAAGTAAGTTTTAAGAAATAACCTGAGAAATAGGTCTTCGAAGTCTTTCTGAGAAATTTCAAAACACAAATGTCCTGGCAAAACTGCTTATCAGACTATGGAGCAGTTTCTTAAAGGGTAGCCAGAAAAGTCTACTCCTTTGGCTTACTTACTGCTGGAAATTAAGAATACCTATTATTTCTGATGTTTATCTACTGCTGTGTCTCTGAAACTATATACAAATCTACCAGCCATCTCAAGGTCAGTCATTCCAAGCCATGTTGTCCCAAGATTATATGTCATTTGCTTTTCCTCCTTTCCCTTGCTCCCCGCAACTTCTGACCATTTCATGACTCCTTTATACCATTGTTCAAGCTTAATTGGGCAGGAAAAGGAGTTACTGCCAAGCAAGTAACTCTTGTTTCTTTTCATTTGATTTTGGCAGAAGAATATTTATGTAGAACTTTGAAGTTGTTGATTCTAAAATAAGAGTATACATTAGAGTCATCTCTGTGATTATGCATATTCATGATTAAACTGCCTTTCTAAAAGCTAGAAAATACTTTCCTGCATTTGAGCAATCATAAGTTTCCAACTCCTAGCTGAGATCTTTGATGCATGTGTAGGAATGAGGGGAGTCAGGGAATCACACTCAGGATTTCCTTGTAACAGGAGTCTCTCTTCTTCTGTAAGGGATTCACATTTATGGTTGTAGTCACTCTTAGGAGAAGTAAAAACCAAATAGAATAAACACACAAAAACATCTGCCAGATATCTACTCTTATACATCTAGAAGTAACTGTATGTGCCTACTTAATTGGTTTTTAGAGCATTTTGAGGTTAAGACAAAATAATATATATCAATAGTATACTTCAGTTTATTAGAAATAATTGCAGAATAAGGATTATCAAATTACCAAGAATTTGAAAAATACCTGTAACCACAATACCTTTCCAACCTTTACAGGCCACATGGGTCTCTCCTTTGAATCCTTATGAAACCTGCTTTTCATTTTTTATAATCATACACTATCAGTTTTATTACCTAAGTTTTTCTTGAGTCTTGTGTCTCCAGGTAGATATTAAACACTGCAAAAAGAAAAATTTTTGTCTTATGCCTTCTCAAAATGCTTAACAATACTGGGCACGTAAGAGGTATTCACTGTACACCGAATATTATTATATTCACTGAAAAATAACAAATATTATTTTAAACTTTACCTAGTCTTTATTTACTTCAGAAGCACTTCGCAACTTTATATATTTTTTATCCTCTATCATGAAATAAATGATAGTTAAACTGAAACCTATAGATTATGCCATACACTTAAAATATCTGAAATCATTCTCAGCATCAAATTTTTAACTCATACTGTTTCATTTTTCTTAAAATAACAAATATTCAAGAATTGAAATTACCACTATTTGTGATCTATAGTTAAAAATTAGGTGAGATTTAATGTTTCATCGAAAGCAAATGATAGAAGGGGGAAGTGAGGTATTAAAGATTTGTAAATGATGATTTTTATACTGGGTTCTAAGATGGGAAAAAAATAGAGGGTTTTTTTTAACCAAAAATTTACTTCATGAGTCTTTATAGAACAAAGGGATAAAAGCCCGGGTAATTGTTATAACTAGCAATTTTTTTTTAAACGTTGTAGGAGGCGAGGAGAATTTTTTGAACTTATAAGAAAAAATCAATTCAATTTGGAAGATCCTCATCAAAAGGAGTTGTTTTTGTAAGTAGGTTAACTATCTTTAAAGCCGAAGTTTTTTATCCAGTTAATTTTCTCACCATTTTTTCTCACTATTAGTTTTTATTGGAATTATTTGTTATAACATAATGATTTTAAAACCTGTCAGATTTTTCCAGAGGGTTGTACAAAGAGTAAATTTGAATATTTACTTGAAAAGAAGTGCATTTGCAAATCCAAGGGAATGAATTGTTCCTTTGTTCTAGAAAAACCTTTAAAATGTGGTAGAGTATCAATATATGGCTATAGGTTTCCCTTATTCATTTTCCTAATTCATTGTAATGGAAGTGCTGAAAATGGAATTATAAATCTTGTGGAAGTAAGATGTAGCTGCAAAATGTTTACTTCTCTTAAAGAAAATCTGAAAAGGTAGAGCAGTGAAGTCAGGGTCCGTACATGGAAGCAATACTATAAAGTCTGTATGATGAAAACAGTTTGATATTGGTGGAAGACCAGTGGAACACAGTAGAAAATCTAGAATTGCATAAGACATATAGTATGTAATAAAGATAACATTCCTAGTGACTGGAGGAAAGAGAGAGATGAGTAGGTAACCAAATGGAAAAAGGCAAAATTGGATCTACTCTACAGACTTAAATTCCAACTGAAGCATAGAGTTCAATGTAGGGACTTACATCATACAAGCACTGAATAAAAGTATAGGTGGATTCTTCTATAATCTAGGAGTGAAAAAACTTTCCTAACTATAATTCAGCATGCAGAAACAATAAAGGAAAAGGCTGAAAAATGTGATTAATCATTCAAAGTCTTTTCATGTAGAAGTTACCATGTGTGTGGAGTGAATTAGGATGACCTACTATGATTTCTGATAGAAGACTTTCATCAGTATGAAACCTGATGTTATACTTTAATGGTTAATTATTAGTAATCAATGTACTTTCGTCATACTGTGACGGTGTGATGAAATATAGAATGGAATACTAAGGTGACAAAAATAATAAAAGCAGGCAAGATTTTACCCAAGGTTAATAATTTTTCAGTCTGCCAATCTGGAGCTAAATGAGGCAGTTTGAGGACAAATTCCCAAAGTTCAAAGGAAAACTGAAACAATGATGCTCTGTTCTCACTGTATCAGTTAGACTTTCATATAAATTGTTTTTCTTTGGTCTTTATAAACTGCCATTTCCATTGTTTAGAGGGTTTTAACTTTTTTTTATTAGTAACTATTTATTGAGGGTATATAATAACACAAAAGTAAATAGGAGTTTTGCATTTCTCTTTTCCATAACAGAGCAATGCTGATGACAGCATGTGATCTTTCTGCAATTACAAAACCCTGGCCTATTCAACAACGGGTATGTTGCTTAGTGACAATAACAGTAATAATTAAAAAGTCAAAATAACATTCTACCCAGCAATCCCACTACTAGGTATCTACCTAAAGAAAAATAAATCACTATATAAAAAAGACACTTATATGTTCATCACAGCACCATTTATTATATCATAGCAAAGTCATGGAACTAACCTAAGTGTCCATCAACAGTTGATTAGATAAAGAACATGTGGTACATATGCACCATGGAATACTATGCAGGCATAAAAAGAATCAAGTCATGTTCTTTGTATCAACATGATTGGAGCTGGAAGCCAATTATCCTTAATGAACTAACTAATTTGAAACAGAAAATCAGACACTGCACATTCTCACTTATAAGTGGGAGCCAAACAGTGGGACACATGGACATAAAGATGGAAATAACAGATACTGGGGACTCCAAAAGGGGGAAAGGTGGGAAGAGAACAAGGGGTGAAAAACTACCTGTTGGGTACAATGTTCACTATTTGGGTAATGGGTATACTAGAAGCCCAGTCCCCACCAATACACAATATACATATATACCAGACATGCACATATACCCCCTAAATTTAAAATAAAATATATATTTTTAAGTTTTTACTCTTAAAGGTAGCTTCTGAAGTAAGTATGGAAATTTTTTTTGGAATTTTTAAGTAGTATTAAAAACCGGTATTTGGACTTACAAAGGCTTTTCTTTTTAGAAGATGCATTTGCACATAATATTTGTAAGATATATTAAGAAAGAGAGCATCTACATTAATACAGCAAAAACATCGCTGTTGATAAGTTTTCATTTCAGTATGATAGGTTGAGCATACCTAATTCAAAAACCCAAAATGCCCCAAAATTCAAAGCATTTTGAGTACTGACATGACACTTACAGGAAATGCTCATTGGAACAGCATTTTAGATTTCAGATTTTTTGATTTGGGATATAACTTATACTTCTGGCTTGTTTCTTAAGGTCATCCCTTTAATGACTTTGAAAATTAGAAGCAGCAAAATTACTTGTCTTATGGTTAGCCTTCTAGGCTATGCCTCAGCTCTAAATAGACATTAACAAGTAGAACATAGAGATTTCTGGGGCTTGTAGATATAGGAATTATTGATATAAGATGTCGAGAAGGTTCTGAATGGAGTCTGTTACCAGGAGGCTAGAAAAAAATCCTTCCCTCTAACTAAGTAACTGCTCTAATGTTTTGCAGAGGCAATATGGGCTCAGAAAAGTGATGGATGTCCATGCAGTGACATATATATTGTTTTTTGTTTTTTTTTCAAGATTTCATTTTGAGTCCTTAATGTACTATTTAGGATTGTTGACAGCCTGCTGTTGGTCAAGGCTCTGGGCTGCGTAGTCAGGTAGCCTAGTAACTCTTCCTACAGGCTCATCTCATGAAACAGACATGCCGAGAAAACAAGATCAAAAACTCATTCTCCATGTGCCAAAGCCAACACACCATAAGCACTTAGGTGATCTTTACTTACCTTCCTGCCACATAATAAACAGGACTATATGCCTGTTTCTAACCAAGGAAGAGAATAGAAGAGGGAAGAATGTGTCTTCTTATATCCTTTCTTTCTCCTGAATCAAACCCTTGTACATACCGTTTTATGGGGGGGAAATAAATGAAGGGAGAAAATGTTTTTAAATAAAATTAAAAGGGAAAAATGTTGGAAGCTACCAAAGAGAGAGAGATGTACCTAAGTGAAAAAGAGTACAATGGAATGGTCAAGAGAGCATGCTTTGGATGTGGACTACTTGTCTTCAGGTATCAAGCTGCTGCTTCTTTGCTATAAAATGGAGATATATAGCTCCTAAGAGGGCCTCCATTCACAGTCTGTTTTAAAGAATGATATGCTTTTCATTGTCAAAACTGAGTCTGTTATTTATTTCAGATAGCAGAACTTGTAGCAAGTGAATTTTTTGATCAAGGAGACAGAGAGAGAAAAGAACTCAACATAGAACCCACTGTAAGTATGAAACCTTGTTGGTAGGAATTCAAATGCATTGTTTTAAAGTTGTAGACTCCTTTTTATGGTCCTATGGCATCTTTCCTTAGGACCACAATTTCTGATTTTATTTGTTAAAACTTTTTTCTCATTGGAAGAATTATACATATTCATTACAGAAAGCAAAACCAATAAAAGGCATAAAAAAGACACTTGGGGGGATATTGTATCACTGTTTTTTTGTAATTTGTTTTTTCTGCTTAAGTATTACAAACCACTTTTCATTTTAACAGATATTCTTATGTACTATCATTACATGAAATAGATGTAATCATAATTTACCTACTTTCCTTGGTGTAATGTTTGCAATGTTCACTATTACAAACAGTACTGTGATAAACATCCATCATAGATGTTTCACTCCTACTCCTTGGTTCCTGCCATCAAAAGAATGTAATAAAGAAGCTGTGGCTGACAGGGAAAGGAAGGAGAGATACCAAAAGAAACATGGAGGAAAAAAGACCAGATGTCATGCCACCACCACTGTTTCCCCAGTTTTCTCAGTATTCTACTTGTTTACTCCTTTGTTCAAAGTTCTCCTCAGAAATGTGTTCACAGCAGTGTTTCATCTATAATAGATGTTTATCACAGTGCTGTTTGTAATAGTGAACGCTGCAAACATTACACCAAGGGAACTGATAAACCACTAAACCTCATTCTTCATTATCTTGTTAGCATAAATTCCCAGTTGTCATGTTGAAGGGCAAACAGTATTTAAAGGTCTTTGATACATACTGCCTTTTTACATAGAGTATGGATCTCAAATACAAGTAAAAATTCCTCTCAACCCACTTCTGTTTTTTGGAATGAATTTTCTTGAAATGAAACATAAGAGTTTTCCTGTTTTCTTTTCTTTTTTTTTTTTTTTTTTTTTTTTTTGGATTAATTGCTATCTGATCTTCCTAGGCTAACCCACTGATTCACCTTTCTAGAGCCAGCTTTCATTGTGTTCTTTAAATAAATGCTACACAGTGGCTCATGCCTGTGATGCCAGCGCTTTGGGAGGCCAAAGCAGTCAGATCACTTGAGGTCAGGAGTTCTAGACCAGCCTAGCCAACATGGTGAAACCCCATCTCTACTAAAAATAAAAAATTAGTCAGGCTTGGTGCTACACACCTGTAATCCCAGCTACTCGGGAGGCTGAGGCAGGAGAATAGCTTAAACTCGGGAGGTGGAGGTTGCAGTGAGCTGAGATGGCACCACTGTACTCCAGCCTGGACAACAGAGTGAGACTCCATCCCCAAAAATAATAAAGTAATAACTAACTAAATAAATAAATGCACATCTGTGTGTTTGGTCTGTATTTGTATTTTCAGGATCTAATGAACAGGGAGAAGAAAAACAAAATCCCAAGTATGCAAGTTGGGTTCATAGACGCCATCTGCTTGCAACTGTATGAGGTATTTATATGAAAACTACTAGACTTGCTAAACTTGGACTGTTATGAATTAGAACCTAAAGTAAATTGAAGAGATTAATATTAGGTGCCTATTTTTTGCTTCTAAATCAAGAAATAAAATTATTACTAGTATGGTTTCTTTTACTGATGAACATGTTTGTACTGAACAAGGAACACATACTAATATCTATTGAGTGCCTACTATGTGCTAATCTCCAACAAATTGATTTGGGGATGCTAAGAAGAATTATGTGCCAGTATTACCCTCAAGGAACAATACTGTATATACTATGCATTAGCATATTCTTTTTTTAAGTCTAAATTTTAGCCTAAATAAAGAAAAGTAATCCAACTTTTTCTCATTGTCATAATGTGGCTTTACTCTAGTTATAAAAATTTTCTGAGGGTTAAAAGGAGGTGGGTAGAATATTGCAGGTTCCCATTTCCACGTATCTGCTGGCTTGGCTTTTGGATGGGGGGGGTGGTTATTGTAGGCAAATGGATTCTCCCTAAAACATCTAATTTATTAGTTTAGATGTTTATGACTCAGATGCAGAAAGAAGAGGTTGTCTTTGTCTTTGAAAGTTTAAACAGAGAACTATTGTAAGTTTTAATTATTTGGAAAAATAACATTTGTCATGGAGTTATCATAGAATGTCAAAACCAGAAAAAAAAAAAAACACCTAGAAATTTTCTAATCCAGATGTTTCAGATATAGTTATTGAACTTGTAAAGTTCATCTGCCAATGAGATAGATTATTTGTCCCAAACAGGTGGTTAGTGGGAGAGGTGCATCTACAGTCCAGTTCTCACTCCTACTCCAGCGATCTCGCCATCAAAAGAATTTACTAAAGAACTGTGGCTGACAGGGAAAGGAAGGAAAGATACCAAAAGAACCATGGGAAAAAAAAACAGGTGTCATGTGCCACTGTCATCTCCCCATTTTTCTCAGCATTCTACTTGTTTACTCCTTTGTTCAAAGTTCTTCCTCAGAAGTATGAAGCGTGTTCAGAACATTGTTTCAAACGCTTGGACATCTCATTCTTTCCATAACACATGCTTTCCTTATTGATTGGATTAAGAGTTTCTCCATTAAAAATACTAATGGCTCTTTTGATTTTTCTCTATCCCTGTAAATACAGTCAACATAGTAATCACATCACCTATTATAGATGTTATCCTTCTACTATATATATGTACATATGTATGTATGTATGTATACAAGTATTCATTTTATTTGAATCTGCTGTTGAAAATTCTATGTGATACTGACATGTATTTTTAACATTATTACAGAAATAGTTATGTTCTCACTATAGAAAAATCAGAGGTCGGGCATGGTGGCTTAGACCTCTAATCCCAGCACTACTTTGGGAGGCCAAGGCAGGTGGATCACTTGAGCTCAGGAGTTCGAGGCCAGCCTGGCCAACATGGTGAAACCCCATCCCTACAAAATATAGAAAAATTAGCCAGGTGTGGTGGCATGCGCTTGTAGTCCCAGCCACTTAGAAGACTGAGGCAGGAGAATTGCTTGAGTAGGGGAGGACGGGGTTGCAGTGAGCTGAGATCCACACCACTGCACTCCAGCCTGGGCAATGGGAGTGGAAACCTGTCCTAAAAAAAAGAAGAAAAAGAAAAATCAGAATTACTGAGAAGCAAAAAGGAAAATAAAACCAGTTACAATCCACTACCCAGAGAAAACTACAGATAACATATCAATGTATGTGCTTTATGACATTTTCATATACTTTTCATTTAACAATAATTCAGTAATTGCCTTTTGCAATCCATAATGTCATTATATCCATATTTTATGTATCAAATGTGTTTCTGTGGGGGTTCTTTTTTTTTATTATTCTGTGGAGGATTTTCCAGTGACAACCTATTGTTGAGTATTTGTAATTTTAAGTGTTTCACTATTAGGAAGAAATCTGAAATGAACATTCTTGTGGCTAAATATTTATGGCACTATAATTGGTACATATTAATGCCATACCGAATTATGAATCTTTATTATAATATAATCCTGGATAAAAGCCTATTTAAGTACATTGTATGAAACCATTCCCTAGAAAAACACAAAAACTAAGCACCTCCTGATGCAGTCACACTTAGGGAGAGCCAACTGTACTACATAGAAAGAAAATGGCTTTTTTCCCCTAAAAGTGGATTCCACACAGATCTGCCTCCCTAGCACAGTAATGTTGTTTTGGAATGTGTGTTTGCTCTGTCTCTCAGCATGTACTCCTTATCTGTAGTGTTTTAGAAGAATCATGTGTAAATGATCTGTGCATGTGCTCACACAGCTTGTGAAAATTTCAGCAGTGAGTCTGCTCATGAAATGAGTGGCCCTTTGTAACAGGCCTGTGGGAGAGGGCTTATTTCCTGGCTTCCCTCTAGCTGTTTGCTTTCTTTTTTTTCTTTAGGCACTGACCCACGTGTCAGAGGATTGTTTCCCTTTGCTAGATGGCTGCAGAAAGAACAGGCAGAAATGGCAGGCCCTTGCAGAACAGCAGGAGAAGATGCTGATTAATGGGGAAAGCGGCCAGGCCAAGCAGAACTGAGTGGCCTATTTCATGCAGAGTTGAAGTTTACAGAGACGGTGTGTTCTGCAATATGCCTAGTTTCTTACACACTGTCTGTATAGTGTCTGTATTTGGTATATACTTTGCCACTGCTGTATTTTTATTTTTGCACAACTTTTGAGAGTATAGCATGAATGTTTTTAGAGGACTATTACATATTTTTTGTATATTTGTTTTATGCTACTGAACTGAAAGAATCAACAACATCCACTGTTAGCACATTGATAAAAGCATTGATTGTGATATTTCGTGTACTGCGAAGTGTAAGCAGTATTCTTGCACTGAGGTTTTTTTGCTTGGGGACTATTTTAAATAATTGGGTTTTGTGTTTTCTGAATTACCATTTTTTCAAGACTGTTTGGAATCTTTCCTTTTTCAAAAGTAGGTTAGGAGCAAATTAACATACATTCTGTGACATTTAAAGGCTTTACAGGATAGTGAAAAATGGTGGCTGAGTGGATTTTAAGGAGGAATAATTGTATTTGTCAACAATGTCTTTTTTAAAAAGTTAAGGCACGCTGAAACAAATGGAAAGTACTATGAAACTGTATTGTAAAGAAAACATTATTTAATTGACTTGCTGTTTTGTGAGAGAACAGACCAGAGAGAACTTTGTCATTTCGGTGCAGTACATTTTTCTAAAGGCTACCCATAAAATCACTTTGATCTCACCTACTTGATGCAAAGCAGGTGAAACCTTAGGAGATGATCCAGTCACTGACTTGATTGAGGGATAAGTGTGATCTAGAAATGGAATGGCCTTGGATGTCTGTCAGTGAAGAAAATGTTCTGTTAGAAGATCCGAGAGTTTTTTTTTTTTTTTCCCTTCTGGGCTTTCTTTTCAAAATAAAAGTGACAATTGGAGCATTGACCTGAAGTGAGACGTGACTATAGATAAGAGAGTACAAAATGACTCTTTTTCCTGTCAATTGAAATTTAAAGAAAAGTTTTAATTATATAAATAACAAAGGGCTATTGCCAATACTAGGGTCAAAAATGAATTTGAGGAACAGTGGGTAAGAAACTTTATGCCTGAATAACATTTAGCAGTATTGTGAGTGAAAAATTGCCATATTTTGATGTACAGGACAAGTCAACTGAGATCCAGAGAATTCTGGATGTGAATGCTAAACACTGGCCCTTAATTCATATTCAATGGTATTTTCTTCCCATAACATTTAGTATAGTTAACATTTTCTTAGAATTTGCGCCCATTTAAGTAGATTAATATTCTACATGTGTGCCCCTAAATACACATTTATTCAATATTGGAGAAATAGATAACGAATTAAGCAACTGGTCTAGGAAGGGAAAATTTATTTCAAATATGCAGGAATGTTTGGATTTGGGCAGAGTAGAAAAGAGAGATTTGCTTGATTTGTTAATTTCTACCTGCAACCCACAAGAAAAGATATTTGTTCTGAGTTTCTATCATTAATTTGGATAGAAAATTTCTTAAGGACATGGTAATGCAGCATTCTCAAGGACCTTTCGCCAAAATGTGTTTTCCATCTGTGTCCCAATTCCCCTAAATTTTGCCTAAAATTCAATATATTCCTTAAGTTTTTAAAATTCTGAGTGTGTATATATATCTTGACATAATGCGGTTTTATTTTTATCATTCTGGTTAAAAAAAAACACAAAAAATAGAAGCAAACCCCATTGTATTGCCGTTATTTTGTATTTGGTAAAGGTTAATCTAGGAAGTTACCAACTGTTTAATGCTATATGTATTGTATACTTGTATTTTCAGGATATTTTATTTTTTTGCCATACACATAAAATTTGTAAAGTTGCCCCTTGGTGGCACTGGTATGTAAAATACACAGACTATCACTAAAATAATAGCTATATCTACATACAGGTGTATACTTATGCATGCATACATAAATCCTTAGTATAGAAAAATTGCTTAAAGAATAGCAATCTTTAATAAACCTTTTTATTACATTGTGATTTAGCAGTTATGCTAAAATATGTACTTATACTTTAGTAGTTTATTTGGTCCCCTGTAGTATGTGTCACTGAGAAATTTTTTAAAGACATAGTAGATCGTGTTTAGAGGCTTTGTATGTGTGTCATTTTAATAAGCAAGAAGATATATTTAGATTAGAAATGGTTTGGTCTGCCTTTGAATAATGTTTATTTTACTTTACGAGTTTAGACATTAAAAGAAGCTGGGCAATGCCTATTTTATTTTATTGTTGGATATTTCAGTTCATACAACGAAGAATACTTCTTTAGGGCTGGTTAATTGGTTCAAATAATTTTTAATTTCCTTTCCAGTATCTTCTCAAGTTGGAAAAATATACATATAGTCCTCCTTCACCTTACTCTATATTTACATTACCCATAACTAGCAAGAAGTACTTGTTCTAGATTTTTTGTTTGTTTAGTTATAAGGGAGTAACATGATACCATTTAATTTCAATTTTTAGCCAGAAAAGACCCCACTATTTTACTAACTTGTTAAAAGATATCTATGTAATTGCCTGGCCTTATGTTTTTCAGTAGATTAGACTGTGCCAATCACAATCCTGGGAGGATTTATGTAAGTCACTTAACCTCTGTGTGCCTAAACAAGTTATGCTTTTTTTAAAGGAGTTATGTTTGGGCAAAGCCTTTGTCTTCAAGCAAAATGTCACAGAAGGCAGCTACTTTATAAGCCCAATGGGCGGTGGCGACCACTGTCAGAAATGGGATATTAGTGTAGAGAGAAGGTGATCTATTCCCATGTGTCATTTCTAATGTTGAGTTTCCAAGACTGAACAAAGAGAATATATTTATTCAGCTTCACTTGCAGATCACTAGTGAATGTGAGATTTAGAGCTCACTGAGTACATTGCTTCAAGGTACAAACCCAGGATGATGATGTTGTCATCACTGTCTCTTAATTTTGAAGAATAGTTTCATTTAATAGGAGTATTAGAGATAAGAAAGTATATGAAAATATACTGGAAATATTGGATTCTTGGAGAAAACTGTTCAGTCACAGATATATTCTTGCCTAGCAGTGAAGTGCCTTTATTTTCAGCATAGCAAACAAATACTAGACCTGTTCCAATTTGATTTACAGTTTTTTTCCTGTGTTTTTCACCAGATTGTACTCCTAAAACTTAACAGGCTATCACAGGCAATTGTCTTTTGTTTACAAGATTGATTTAAAATGAGAGGATAAAAAAGTCATCATTATCCTCTCTTATGAATAACTATAGTCAAAATAAGGTGGCACAATTTAATTGTTTTGTGTCAGAAATACACTGACCCGCCTTTTATTGAGTCCTGCCACATGTTAGGTACTGTGCTCAGCTGTGGAGACAGAGCAGTGACCTCAAGGAGCTCACTGTCCCTGAAGGAGGTGCTGGAGAAGAGACTTAGTTTCTGATACTGCCGATTTAACCTGAGAACATGGGGTGTACTGCATCACTTCCATTTTCATCAATAACATATGTTTTATGTACCTTCTTTACCTGAAACTTACTAAGAATCTACCAGTGAACAAACATCCTGTCTTCTTGCAAGTATGAATTAGTTAACCTGTTGATAGTTGAAGAACACTTTAGGAGTTTTGTATTCTTGTATATAGTTTATTTTTTCCATATGCTAGCCAGCTAAAGATTACACAGTTCTTCAGGACTGTTAAATTGTGCATGGTTTTGGACCCCTTCTGCTCTACTACAGAGAGCAAAGAAGAAAGTATTAAAGCTCACTGTACCATTCCATATACTTACTAAAAGCCTGTGTAAACATATCTTAATGAATGTTGTTGAAAGCAATGTAAATAGTTGAACATATAAATTTATATTACAGTTTAAGAAAAGAAAACCTTATGAGGCATCACTAGCCACTGTTAATATCTATTTGTATTCTTATACCTTTTCAATATATTTGAACAAATATAGTTTCTGGCACTATTTTTATACTCGGAAAAGGAGTTACTATGTATATTATGCTTAGCTTTTAAGTCATTTTAAATAACCATGAATGTTGATTTCATTTCTTTCCTTTCCTCCATCATGAGAGTCATTTCAGATGACTCTTTTATGACAAAATCACTTTAAAGGAACAACTTACCTCCGATTCTTGTATAAAGTCATGAGATGGTCAAGGTGGTTTTCCGTTGTGCAGATTCTTCACCTGTCAGTGGTTTCCTCATTTTGCCATGCTTTGTAAAAATAAAAAGAGTGAACAAGTCAGTATGAATACTGTGTGATTATTAGGGGACTCTGAATTTTAAGTGTGGGGAATTAATAGGGGAGTTTGGATTTTAGGCAGGGAGAATGGGCCCAATAGTTTGAGAGACTTTAATCAAGCTAACCTGTGATACTATTAGCTGAAGAAAAGTAATCCTTTCCTTAGCCTAGACTCTTCTCAATAATAGTCTTCCTTTTATTAATACTCTTTGCTGCCAGTTTGGGGGCTATGTTTTCCATCTCCTTCTCACTTCAAGTCAATAATGACTCTTTGGAGGGTGATTATTACCAGCCTGATGCTACATGAGGAGCTGAGGCTTGGAGCTGAATACTTGACCAAATGGCATGAGCTGGATTTGAGCCCAGATCTGTCTAGTTGCAAATCAAGGGTCTATTCCTTAGTTCTCTTTTTGAATTTAAATTTATAAAGGTCTCAAATCTACTCTTATAAGTCAAATGGGCTATCTGGAAGCATTAGAGACAGGAATTCCCTCACTCAGCAGGTTTGGTTTGTCTGAGTTTTTACAGTTAACATTTCTTAATTTAGTTCATCTGGTAATAGCTAAGAAAATGCCTTCACAGAATCCAACACCATTGTATCTCAGTGCTTCTAGTCTAGAGGTGTGAAAGCATCAGTAAACGCAGAATTTCTGATTTCATTATTTTGCCACTAGACAAGCCTTCTTCATGTGGGGCAGTGTACCTAGGTTATGTCTAATTCATAAAACTAAAGGAAGAAGTAAAGTATAAGCTCATGTAGAACAATATTTTAGATTCTCTAACCACTAGAGAGTGCCAGAGCTTTAGTTATATTTAAAGAAGTAATCTTCCTTCCTGACCATAAAGAACTAATAAAACTTTTTTTTTTAAAGATTTTTAGTGGCCAAAAAATCGCAGGCTGTGTACACCGACCCTGTGATATTGTTCCTAAAATCCAGGAAGGGGGAGGACGGTATGACTTTCCATACAGTGGGAGCTGTACACCCACGCTGGGATTTTGTTCCTAATATCAAGGGGGGGAGAGTGTAGTATTACTCCCAATATGGCAAGGGGTGTACATCCCCCCGAGGTATTGTTCTTGCCATTCAAAACAGGAGAGGATGGCATGACTCCAGATATCGAAGAAAGTGCAAACCCCTGTGTGATATTCTTTCTAATATCCAGAAAGGAAGAGGAGGATATTCATCCCCATATCACAGGAGGGGTACACTCACTCTGACATTTTTCCAAATATGCAGGGGCGAAAGAGGATAATCACATTCCCAATACCGCAGCAAGGGTTGTACACCCCCGTGTGAGATAGTCCTTCATAATGTTCCAAGGCGGAGGGTATATTACTACATATATGGCAGAAAGTGTACACCCCCCAGGGATATTGTTCCCATAATCCTGGAGGGAAGGGGATGATATTACTTTAAATATCACAGAAGGCGTACACGCCTCCAATGTTTCTAATTTCCACGTGGGAGAGGAGGATATGACACCCAATATCGCAGGGAGTAGAAACACTCCTGGGATACTATTCTTAATATTCAGGGAGGAAGAGGATGATATTACTCCCAATACAGGTGTACACCCGTCTGTGAAAGAGTTCATAATTTCCAGAGGGGCAGATGATACTATACTATCGTAAACAGGCTGAGTCCACCATGGATCGTAATAGCCAGCGGGGAAGAGGGGGTGGCTATTACTCCCCATATCGCGGGGGGTGTCTCACCCCCCTGCGATGTGGATCGTAATAGCCAGAGGGGGAGAGGGGGTGGATATTACTCCCCACATCGCGGGGGGTGCCTCACAATATCACAGTTTGGTGTACACTCCCTGCAGTACAAAGAATAATATTGTCTTTTCTTCCTTTAGCTCTTGAGAACAATATCACATGGCGGGGGTGGACAACCCCTGCACTATTGGGAGTAGTATCATTCTCTCTTTTTCTGGATAATAGGAACAATATCACAGGCGGGATAGACAACCCCTGTGATATTGAGAGTAATATCATTCTCTCCCAACGTGGATATTAGGAACCGTATCACAGGGGGCGTGTACACTTCTTCGATATTGGTAGCGATATCATCCTCTCCTCCCTGGGTATAAGAAACAATGTGACAGGCGGGGTGGACACTCCCCGCGACTTGGGGAGTAATATCCCTCCCTGGATATTAAGGTCCACAGTGGACACACAGCGTGTTTACGATTTTGTGAGTAATATCATCTCCCCCTCTAGGCATTACGAACAGTATCAAAGACGGGTGTACACCCTCTGCAATATAGGGAGGAATATCATCCTCTCCCCGCCTGGATATTAGGAACAATATAGGAGTGTTTATAACCCCTGCGATGTCGGGAGTAATATCATCCTCTCCCAGGTGGAAATTAGGAACAGTATGACCGGGGGCGTGTACACCCCCTGCGATATTGAAAGTAATATCATCCTCTTCCCTCCTGTATCATGGGAACAACATTACTGGGGGGTGTACACTTTCTGTGATATTGGGAGTAACATCGTCTTCTGTGCCTTGGAATATTAAGGACAATATCACGGGGGGGCGTGTACATCTTCTGCAATATTGGGAATAATATTATCCTCTCTCCCCCTGCATATTAGGAAAAATATCACAGAGCGGGTGTTCACCTCTTGCGATATGGGGATTAATCTTCTCCCCTTCCGGATATCAGGAAGAGTATCACACGGGGGTGTACAGTGTCTGCAATACTGGGAGTAATATCAACCTCTCGGCCTTGGAATATTAAGAAGAATATCACAGGGTGGATGTACACCCCCTGCCATATTGGGAGTAATATCAGCCTCTCCCCTCCACGGATATTAGGAACAATATCCCAGGCTGGGTGTATGCCTCCTGCTCTACGGGGAGTAATATCATCCTCTCCCTTCCAGGATATTAATAACAATATCACAGGGCGGGTGAACACAGCCTGCTATACTGGAATTATTATCATCCTCTCCCCCTCCAGATACTGGGAACAATATCACAGAAGAGCTGTATCCTCCCTGCGATATTGGGAGTAATATCATACGCTTCTTCCGTGAATATTAGGAGCAATAGCACCGCGTGGCTGTCCATTCATTGCTATGTTGGGAGTCATGTCATACTCTACCCTCCTAGATATTAGGTTCAGCGTCACAGCGTGAGTGTACCCCTACTGCGATATTAAAACTAAAATCATGCTCTCTGTCCCTGGATATTAGGAACAACATCACAGGTAGCTGTATACCCCCTGCGGTATTAGGAGTAATAATATGATTAATTATTAAACATCAATGATTGATTTTAATAATTATCAATACTATTAATAGGATACTAATATTAATTATGGATAATTATTTTAAATATATTATGCACGCTTAAAATATTAATGTCATTTAACAATATTCGTTCTTAATATTATTTTATTACCAACATCACTTAGTATTGATTTAACATTAATTACTGATATCATTATTTTATTATTAATAGTGATATTACTGTTCATTATTAATACTAATCGTTAACATTGTTAACCAGTATTTTTTACTATCTTTATTGTGATTATTAATATCGATGATTACTATTAATTTTTATTATATTTATTAATATTAATAATAGACTTGTTCCTGATATCCGGCGGGGAGAGGATATTACTCCCAATATTGAAGAAAGTGTACACCCCTCTATGATGTTATTCCTGGTAGCCAGGGGGTAGAGGATGACATTATTGAAACTATCGCAGTGGGTGTACATCCCTTCGGTCATCTTGTTCCTTATATCCTGGGTAGGAGAGGATGATATGACTCCCAATATCGCAGGGGGCGTAGACCTCCCCCGTGATACTGTTCCTAACATCCAAAGGTGGAGAGGATGATATTTCTTCCGATTTCGCAGGGGGTGTACACCACCCCTGTGATATGGTTCCTAAAATCCAGGGGGTGAGAGGATATTAGTCTCAATATTGCAGGAGGTGTACACTCCCTAGAAATATTGTTCCTAATATCCAGGGACGGAGAGGACAATATCACTCCCAATAAAGCAGGGGGTGTACACCCCTTCTGTGATATTGTTCCTAATAGCCAGCAGGGGAGAGGAAGATATTACCCCCAATATTGCAGGGGGTGTACACCCCCTTGTGATATTGTTCCCTATATCCTGGGAGGGAGACGATGATACTAGTGGCAATATCGCAGGGGGTGTACACACCCACTGTGATATTGTTCCGAGTATCCAGAGGGAGAGAAAATGATATGACTCCCAATATCACAGGGGGTGTACATTCTCCTGTGATATTGTTTCTTATATTCAGGGGGAGAGGATGATATTACTCCCAATATCGCAGGGATTGTACACACCTCCTGCGATATTGTTCCTAATATCCCGAAGGGGAGAGCATAATATTACTCTCAATATCGCAGGGGGTGTACACTTCCTTTGTAATATTGTTCTTAATATCCATGATGGGAGAGGATGATATGACTCCCAATATCGCAAGAAGTATACAGCCGCCTGTGATACAGTTCCTAACATTTAGGTGGGGAGAGGATGATATTACTGCCCATACTGCACGACTTGTAAAACCCCTTAGATATTTTGCCTACAATCCTGAAAGGAGAGGATGATATTACTCCCAATATCGAAGAAGGTGTATGCCCCGCTGTGACACTATGCCCAATATCCACGTTGGGAGACGATGGCATTACATCCAATATCGCAGGGGATGTACACCCACCCTGGGATATTGTTCCTTATATCGAGAAGGGGAGAAGATACTATTGCTCCCAATAACGCAGGGACTGTGGCTGTACACCCCTCCTGTGATACTGTTCTTAATATCGTAGGGAAGAGAGGATGATACTACACCCAATATCGCAGGGGGTGTACACCCACCCAGTGAAATTGTTCTTAATGTACTCCACCTCCCACCACCAGGGATATCGTTCCTAATGTCCAGGGGAAGAGAGGATAACGTTATGCCCAATATCCCAGGGGAGTGTACACACCCTCTGTGATGTT